TCCAAGAATATCTCTCCATCTCAAGATTCTTAATCACATCGGCAAAGTCCCATATAACGTGACATTCACAGATTCTGGGAATTAGAACATGGATATTTTTAGGGACTATTATTCAGCCTAACACAGCAGGTAATCGTTTCTACACTGTTTTCAAACAAACTTTTTTGTATGTTGTATAGGTTCCCCTTGTGCCACCCTTATTCAAACCTTAAAAAACCTTTCTTCTTACCAATTAATAATACTATTCATTTTTGGGTAAAAATCATACAATGATTTATTTACAAATACTAAATAGCACCTAGACTCTTCAAATCAATGTATTAGGAGCTGTGTGGCATTAGAGATGTGGCCTACACATCCTTCTTCCTTGGAGGTCTAGAAGTCTTGAACTGAGTAGATGAAGCTCACTCAAATTATGGAGAATAATCTGCTTTACTCAAAGTCTGCTGATTTAAATGTTAAACATACATAAAATACACCCTTATGGCAACTTCTAGACTGGCGTTTGACCAAAACCTGGGTATGAGGACCTAGTCAAGTCAACACAACAGTAACCTCATAGTCTTATTCTCTTGCTTTCTCAAACACCATACTTGTCTAATTTTCCTATTTTTTCAGTTCCCATTCAGATGCTTTCCGAAATCTTCCTGTATAGCTATTTCTGCTTTAAGTTTTTGCAGGCTATAGCTCAGGTATAGACCTGGTATTATTTTATTTATTTTTTATCAGTACTCTCATGCTGTGAAAGCAAAAAGACACACTGAAGATTTAAAATAAAACTCTGTTTTTACTGGAAACACTATCTGGACAGCCCAGGGACTTCTGCTTTTGGGCAGGATATATTAACTCACAGAAGGCCAATTTCTGTAACAATTAGACCAGATATTTGATTTTAAAAAATCATAAATATATGTAAAAAATATATATATATAAAGACTGGATAGGCAACCATTCCAGGGAGAGAAGAGCCTTCCCCAGGTGAGCTGACAATCACAAGTTGTTTCTTGGTTGTTGTTTTTTGTCTGCCAATTCTGGCTGAGGATATAGATTAACCCATGCTTCTGTGCCAGAGCAAAAGGGAGCAAGCAAAATTTTAACAATAATGTGGGGTTGGGGTTAAAAACTGGAAAGTTGAGGGGCCTCATACATGGCCACTCTTCTGCATGGGAATTTGCTGGGTTCTGGGAGTAGGTGAGAAGCTAGAGATTTAGGTCAATAATGTCTAAATCTCAGAGTGAAATCTAGTTTCCTGGTACTTAGGAAGTAAAGATCTCTCATAGGAAATGGAGTTCTTAAGCTCACAGTCGGCTTTCCTCTTTGGACATTTGCTGGATTTTGAAATTGCATGGAGCTAGTTTAGAGATCTGGGACAGAAACTCTTGAAGGCAGTACTTGATCTCTTAGTCTTTCAGAGTTGAGGAGGCAGTTGAGAGAGATTTAAAATGCACAACTCCACTCTAGCTTATATTTGGATTAGGATGGTTAGCCCATTATCTTAATATGACGAACAATGGAGAGGCAGATACATACTGTAAGTCATAAAACAAACAAACAAACAAAAAAGAAATGGAGATTCCACATGATATCTTTTACAGAGTTAATGGGATGGTTGTATTCCTTGGCTGTGCCCCTTTCTCCACACCCAAAGCCAACAGTAGCAACCTCAAATTAATCTCTATCTCTCTCATTGTTACCTCCCTTTAATTGTCATATCTCCTTCTCTGACTCTGACCTTCCTGAGTCTGTTTTATTACAGTACTGTGTTTACATTGGGTGGACTTGGATATTCCAAGATAATCTCCTCAATTCAATATCTTTAACCACCTGTTTCTTGTGTCACGTAAGTTAACATAGTGACAGGTTTGGGGATTAAAATATTAACACCTTTGGCTGACCATCATGGTGTTTACCACAACTATAAACAGCTGACTTAAAAAAATCAATTTGGCAACCTTCATCTTTAACTCACCTTTTTGTTATTTGTGTTTAGTGCAATTATTGGGTCTTGCATCAATTACTTTATATTTAATCTATTATTGTTCTGCTTTTCCTATTTTTTCTCCCCTCTTGCTTTTCCTGTTTTTTTGTTTGCTATTTTCTTATTTCATTTGCCATCTATCATAACAGAGCTTATACATTTTTAAATTTAAATTCCATTTAATTTATTCTTGGGATTTTACCATACATATTGAACTTTCTACTACTAAAATTATTTCTAGACACTTTATTTTAGAAAAATGGATCTGTTAAGCTTTGTGGCTTTGTGTGTTCTCAACTTTGCAATTACATCTATTATTTCTTCAAACATTCTTAGTATATAAAGGACTTTTGCTTACTTTTGCTTACGCTTGCACCTATTGTCTTCTTGTGTATTCAGTATTCTGTGTTTGTATGTCATTTCGTCTTAATTGTAGTAGCCCAGTGGCCCTAACGTTTGGGAAACTTTCCTCCAGAAAAAGTACATGCTTCTCCTGCTGAAGCAGGTTTGGACCAGTTCAGCGATCTATGGGGTTTTTTAATTTTAGAATGAAAGGTAAGATAAAATACAATAAATGACTTGATAAAATCAACAGAAGTAAATAAGACTCCACAGAAACTTCTTTTATTCAAATATATTTATATTTCTTTATGAACTCATTGACTTTAATATCTTCAATATGTTTCAAACAGTTACAGTTTTATTATGTTGGGTAATGTCCATATTTTCAAAATATTGGCCAACAGTAACCTCTTTATAGGATTCCTATGTCCCCTTGACATAATGCTCTCAATTGTTTAAAACACATTTTCTTTTGGCCACTTTATATTATCCTACCCAGACCTACCTTGCATCTTCATTTACCCAATCATGATATTTCCATTGCTCACAGCAACTTGAGTTCTGAGAATGGTTCGTATTAGAAATCATAATTTAAGAGCTGAGGTTACATATTAGGTTTATGTTTGTTGGGGTCCTAGGTCACTTCTGTGTACAAAGTTTCAAAATAAACAGTTTTTTTTAAAAAAATGTATGCCTCCTATTAATAGTTCCACTTACTTCTAACACTATGGGGTTTCTGTTTAATTTTCTTTGATTCAGTAATTGTTCTACTGTTTACTTATAGTGAAAATATTTCTAACAAAATGAATACATATTCTTTGTATAATAATCCAAAAATAATAAAATGATGCTAATACTAAAAATAAAACTACTAAAAATTTAATTAATAAAAATGAAACTACTGAATTTAGTTCAGTGTTTCCTGTATAGATATTTCTGCTTCTAGTATGCATTACAATAGGTATATATACTCAATTTACTTTGGTTTTAGAGTCACTTATAACTCATTCTGTGTGGCTGCGGAAATATTTATTGGATGTATGATTTGTTGCAGTTTATTTCAAATTCAAGGTGTTATCATTCCAACAGACAGTTCTATACTCTTAGAAAGTGTCATTTTTAGGTGTTGCTATTTAGATTCTGATGGAGAATGGTAGAAATCACCTCTATTGGTCTACTTTATGAGATGTGGCAAGAAAAAAAAAATCAGCAATTTAATCTCCAAAGCTCTGTATAAGTGTTTTATTTAGCCACTATCTGGTCTATCCGCCATGGTTACATGCTTGGTTATGTGCATAAGACTCATATGTATGAATTCAGGCTGGGCAAAACAACTGTCTTCTACATTCAGTTACAAACAACATTAAAATCTACACGTTTTCACATATGCAATTACATTTTTACTTTGCAAAATCTGTTTTGATATTTATTTTTCTTGCTTTAATAACCTGAAAGTTCGTTTTCTTTTTATAAGACATAACATTCCCTCACAGCCTTGATATATCTTGCTGTGCACTATTATGCCAAGGCTTGCAAATTTATCCATTTAATTCCCAGATAGTATTATCATTTAGTATCTTTCAATTCTTTATTTTATTCCAGGGTGGTTTTGAGGAAGATATCTAGTACCTTGAAATGCTATATTATTGCTAAGTCACTCTATACAAAAATGATTTTTGAAAATTTGCCTGAAATCCTATTTTGCATTTCATGATTCTGCAAATACATAACTAGAACCCTTTTGAATTACAGTCTAATGAAAAATTTCAATGTATCTATTACTAAAATGTTATACAAATTTAATCTTCTAAAAGTCAATTGAAATATTAGATAAACAGAATGTATCAAGAAGAAAGTAATTAAATTGTTAAAGCATTGTTACAAAAATGTATATGACTTATAACTTGAAATTGTCCTATTTGTAGAAAAAACTAGATTTTATAATTGTTACATACTGATAGCCACATTTTCTCTTTTAATTTGTGTTTTATCCTATATTTATAAAAAATGTTTAGCTATTGATTTTGGTACACAAATGAAAAATTAGAAAAAAGAATGAATGACACAAATTAATAATTCTGTGTGTAGTAAATACATTTATCATTATGCAAAAAAAATCATAAAATTATTTTTTAAATTAAACATTACATTCCTGTTTCATTATATATTTTACCTCTAAGACTTTATCCAAAGTTGCCTTTTTAAATCTCTAAAACAAACTTCACATATTTTGGAAAAAAAATAGAAAAACATTAAAATTATCAAATACTTTTTTAAATACCTCTAGCCTTAGGCAATTATTTATTTCCTGCTTATGTTCTATCATGAAGACAAAGTTGAATTTCTTTATAAGCTTGACACTATTTAGAAAAATAATTATTATTGGCTTTAAAATAGATAATTTGTGGAATTTTTAACTGCATATATATATATAAGTTCATGGAGTCATTCTGTCCTTCTAGTTAGAAATACACACTCTGGCAAATTATTTAACTACAAGTTTTTTACCTAATTCTTGATACCCTAAGATATCTTAACACATTTGAAGATTCATTAATGTGTATAATGTGTTTTATGAACCGCAGCACCCAAACTTCTTAAGGAAACACATCCTTTTTCTTTAAAACAAAGATGATCTCACATATAAAGGCAGAGTTGCTTACATATATACAAATTGAAATCTCAGTGTCAACACAATATCTCTTGCTAGACTAGGGTTCCTAGGGACATGTCCTCTGCCTCCTTGTCTTATGCAGCCTAGGCTTACTCTGAGTAGAGAATTACTTCATTTTGATCAATTTTCAATTACTTGAATGTCTTGCCTTTAATAGCTAAATGCTCTCCTGGGTGTTCTGAGGCAGCTTATCACAAAGCTCAAGGCCTCTCATGATGATGCCTCAAAGCCTCAGCTTTATTTTAAGGCTGTCTGAGGGGTTCCTGGCAATCCCAGAGGCAAAAATTCCAGAAGAGTGTGGAGACTTCACGCATATGTGGGCTTAGGTAACTCCAGGAGCAGAGGAAGAGGAAGAACTCAGCTACCTGTAAGATTATTGTCTCCTGATGAGAAGGAGAGGCCAATGCATGGTTTCAGAAGCTCCTGCTCTGATATGACAGTGATGAATGAATAATCAAGAAAGATTTTTACACATTAGACTGCTACTTCTCCAGTTTTATTTCATCATGCCTTATGGGGTTTTGTAATTTCTTCGGAGTATATGGGTGGTAAAATTCATTTCCCCACACACCCCATTACCACAGCTGGTTAAGGTGGGTTTCTTCCAGATTTCAGCATCTCTTAGATATTTCAGGATATCATGGTCCCTGAAACGTCAAGAGGAAACTATAATTTTGAATCATCTCTGTTACATCAATACAAAACTTTGCAAATTTGGAACTATACTATCTACTATTTTATAAGTGGGAATATAATGCTGCTTCTCTTCCTGGAACAAGGAAGTACCTGTGGTAGAGGGATGTGGATTTGAAACAAAAACAGGGCACCTGATACTTTCAGGGCATCTTACAGAAAAGATTAAAAAGTGCAGAAGTGTGATGCAGAAGCTAAACAGTGATTCAGTAATGATTCCTATCTCAAACAACAAAGTTGTTTTTTGAACTGAAACAGTTCAAAACAGTTCAGTTTTTTGAACTGAAACAGTTTAGGGTTATAACCTACATCAGTCCTAGACAATGGTGGAGAGGCCAAAAAAAAAAAAAAAAGAAGAATCGAAAGAAAAAATTTAAGGATTTACCCACAACCGTCCTCATCTTGTTGACTCATTCCACCGTTTTTGTGTTCTATGTGCAGTCAATACTACACTGTAGAAAATAAAACCATAGATTCAGAATTTAAAATGAGACTTTGTCATTAACTACTTTTAAAAATCCTATGCAGAAAGAAAAAAGTTGACAGTGTTAATTATCTATTGTTGCATAGCAATTATTACCACAAATTTAGAAGCTTGAAATAACACACATTTATTATCTCACAGTTTTGGGGATACAGTTTAGCAAAATTCCCTGCATTCAGGTCTCACAAAGCTGCAGTCGGTCAGGGCTAATGGTACTAAGCATTGTGCTAGATACCAGAGATGAAAAAGCCAAACATAAATCAGTTTCTCCATGGATTATATAATATGGCAGAAAAGTATCACTTATGGAAAGGTGATTTCAATATAATGTCATTTAGGGCATAGAAAAGCTGGGATTTGGTGGCTGATTAGATGTGTAGAAAAATTTAGGGAACCTGTTAAGAAGGATACCTGGTGTGTTAGTCTAACTGTGTTGCTATAAAGGAATACCTGAGGCTGGGTAATTTATAAAGAAAAGAGGTTTATTTGGTTCACAGTTCTGCAGGCTGTACAAACATGGCACCAGCATCTTCTCAGCTTCTGGTGAGGCCTCAGGAAGCTGACAGTCATGGCAAAGGAGGAGTCAGCATATCATATGGCAAGTGAAGGAACTAAAGAAAGGGGAGATGGTGCCAGGCTCTTTTAAACAACTTGTGTGACATGATAGAGTGAGAACTCATTCATTACTGAAGGATAGCACCAAGTCATTCATGAGGGATCCACTCCCATGACCCAAACACATCCCACCAGGTCCTACCTCCAACAATGGGTATGACATTTCAACATGAAATTTGGAGGGGACAGATATTCAAACTGTATCACCAGGGTTTTGACTTAAGCAATTTTTTGGCTTGTATGCCATTCATCGATGTTGAATACACAGAAGTAAGAACAACAATGTGCTTATAAACATACTGTTTTAGGATAAGGTAATTATATTTTATTAATATCCATGTAGTCTGTTTTATATTATACATTTACATGTAAATAAATATGGACCAGCATCATAAATATCTCTACTAGAGGAATATCTTGTTTCCTGTTGTTTATCCTTAATTAGCAATGTCATTCCCCTGACATGGCTGATTGAGCCAAGAGAAGCTATCCAACCCCAGAGGAACTAATCCATAAACTAATCTGAATTAATCAGATTGCCTTTCGAGAATTTGAACTAAGATATGCAGAAACTTAATAAGTTGCTAGCTGAGGTAATAGCAGATCATTAGAGTAAAAGTCCATGAACTCCAGCAGCTGAACTCCCTAGAGCTCTGTTGTTTTCCAGGCTTACTGACATTTAGTTGTTCTGTTTTTCTTTAAAATTTTAAAATACACATTTTTAAAATAATAAATCCTTTTATCTTTGGCTGAGTAGATTTTTATTGCCTGCAAACAATTTTTCCTGCCTAAACTATGTTGAAGACCATTAATGTCTTTTGAAAATCAAAGACCAAGTCTTAGATTCCACCCCAGTATCATGGGATGAGTTGTATCTACCAGAATTTAAAAGCAGAAAAGTGATGTAGATTAAGAAGCTATCCTTGCTCTATCTGATTTCTTTTTTGTGGGTCTTTTGATTATGGCTTCATGTATATCCTAGTATTTTCATTAACAGCACACGTACACACACACACACACACACACACACACCCCTTGGTTTTCCCATCATATTACAAAATCCTTAAGGACTAGAAGTCCTTTTGTAGTCCTAGTGCACCAAGCATAAGCACTTAATTAATACTTGTTGGCTTTTTAACATTTTTATTTTTTCGTGTCACATTCCTAGAGAGGAATGTGGACTATTAAACCTAGAAGAAAACCAAATCTTACCTTAGAACATAAAGCAAGCACCATTATTATTATCAGATATCACTCAAGAAGGTATGTGATTGAATTATGACCATGGTATTTGAAATTATTAAGGGGGTCATGGAAGAGGTCAAGAATATCTATTTTTTAGTCTGCTGTTTCCTCAGGGGTTATACAAAAATTAAGAGATTTTTTTCTCTCCAAAGTATGATGTTTCTGTCACTTGTACTGTACAGAAACTTAGTTTTAGGGAATGCCCTAGAAAAGCCAGTAAATTACTGTGCACACTATGTCTTTATAACTTAGTATCGAATTAAGATAATAAAACCTAGAAATTCATGATTTAGAAAATCATACAAGTATTGATCCAAAATTCCTTTTCTCTACAAAGCATATTTATTACTTTATTTAGAAAATATTTATCAATACAGTCTAGCTGCCAGGCACTGTGCTAGGAAGGGGTCCACTGTGGGAAATAAAATGTAAAACCTGACTTCAAAGAGTTTACAACCCACTGTAAATTTATGCATACATTTATAATAAATTTAAAATTAAAAAAATACAAAAAAATCTATTGTGCAGAGTTTAGAAATATTTTTAATTACTTATGCCAATTCACAGATTTCATTTCTTCTGGAAATTTTATAATGAAGTATGGTGTCCCAGAACAAGCAAGTCCCCACTCGCCACTAAAATAAATGTGTTTTCTTGTTTTGTGTACTTACGCTAACAATTAAGAAGCCATTTGACTTAAACATAATATTTGAAAACGTAAGTATTCTGTAGAAGGTTTAAATCCATGGATAACTAATTTTGTGATTTAGCATTTGATTACTTTCTTAGTAGTGAAACTCACTTCACCAAGGGAAAAGTGCAGGAGAGGATGCATGAAAAGTGCTTTAGGAGTATGTGAGACTGGATAAGACAGTTTTCAATATGCTACCTCACCAAGTAATTTTGTACAGTGAAAGAGCAAGAAAGAGAGCTTGGCTCATTAAACAATTGACTCATTAGATGAACAGAAAAGAGTTACCCTAGCAAATCATATTTGGAATGCAAGTATTACCCAAAACAAAAGTAACCAGTAAATGTTGCTAAGTTCTAACAGAGCGTCTAGTATCAAAGTTTCTCTAAACATATTTTTCCCAGTTTTGCATTCTTTGAGGTCACACTCATCACTATGTTTAAGTTAGTTTTCAGTTTATATTCAAATATTAAAATGTAGGTACTAAATCTATCACAACCACTGTCCTCCCCAATATTCATGGTATCAAGTGCTTTGAGAAGCTTTTAAAATCTCTGAATGTTAGGTCGGCTCTCTGGAAGTTTACTTCTGGGACAGATTAATGTGTAGCCTCTTTTTTCCATCTGAACCATCTTCCAAAACAGCAGTTCCCACCTTTTTGACACCAGGGACCGGTTTTGTGGAAGACAATTTTTCCACAAATGGGGTGGGGGTGGGAGGATGGTTTTGGTATGAAACTACTCCACCTCAGATGATCAGGTGTTAGTTACAGTCATAAGGGGCATACAATCTAGATCCCTCGCATGTGCAGTTCACAATAGGGCTCACACTCCTATAAGAATCTAATGCCTCGCTGATCTGACAGGAGGCAGAGCTCAGGCGGTAATGTGAGTGAGGGACAGTGGCTGTAAATAACGATGAAGCTTTGCTAGGTCTCCTGCCACTCTCCTGCCGTGCGGCCCAGTTCCTAACAAACCATTGACTGGTACCAGTCTGCGGACCACGGTTTGAGGGCCCCTGTTCCAGAGGATATATTGACACTATGACTTATGCTTTCAGCCCTGCCTAAGTCCTTCAATCTTACCTGTTTCTTTCATACAAAATATTCCTTCCGTATGAAGCACTTTTTCCATAATTAGTTGAATCATCTAAATTACACCTGTTAATCTGATCCACTTCCCCTAGCTTTATAAAGGAATAGCACCTCATTTACTTTAGTCAGTTTCACATAGAAAGAGTTCCCAATTTTAAATAGGTCTGGTTGTTCACAGACAACGAATCTATGCTCAGAAAGTTTCTTTTTACAATGCCAGATATGAAAGAGATTTTCCTGCCTGCTTTTTCATTCAATAAAACAATTTTATAGGACAACTAGAAACATATCGTTCAGAACATATCCTAGAGTTAAAAATGACAAATTTGAAAACCCTAGCTAAATGTCACCCATCCAAAGTGTTTTACATATTTTTTAGTTTAGTTTAGTTACATATGTTTTAGTGCATTACGCTGGCCAAAATGGTAAATTATTTCTAAAGAAACAAAGATAATTGTGAATCTGTATTCAAAAAGTATCAATATTCTAAGAAGTTTCTTAGCTCTGAGTGAAACCCAAAACATGAAAACAACAATATATGAAATAGTTTATTTTATCACTATGTTTTGTCCTTTTTACTGAATACCAGGAATTGGCATAATTTCACACCAGAAGAACTAACATCATAAAATCATCCTGAAGGCAGAAACACATTGTATTCCCAGGATCATTGCTCTTTTTTCTAATCTTGCTCACATGAGCTAGCATGCTGGGGTTTGCCTTTTCTCCTTCACGAGAAACAGAAAATTGTTGTTTTTCCATGTCTCCAAATAATTTTCACTGTTTATAATAACTTATGGAAGTGCTGTATCATTCTTTTCCAAATTCTGAATTCATAAAGAAGGATCATACTCCAATTAATTACCAAAGCCACATACAGAATATAAATATACTCTCTGACTGCCAGTTTAGTTTGTAATTTGGTGGCTTAAAAATGCCTGCCATTTAGTCTTAGGCTTAAAACCAAGATAGAAAAAAACAAAGACTATAATTTTCAGTCTGTCTTATACTCCTACTGGCTTTTCTGTTCTCATTTTATAGTGGACACTTCTACGTTAATTAGTTGAATCATCTAAACTACAGTGGCTATCCTGACAACTCTTATGAATGATCAACTTTCAATTACTTATTTTGCTTATTTAATATGCTATGCACACTGATTCCTGCTGTTTGTCTCTTTATCCTAATCCAATGTCAGTTTTTATTTTCCTCTAACGTTTACATCATCTTCTTGTATCAGCTCACAACGATAAACGTGTGCAATTCATCCCAAGTACAGAGACCGTGTTGGTATAGTTTTTCAAACACTATACTGGGGATCATA